GGAAGCCTGCTTCTCCCTCTCCGACTCCCCCTGCTTGTGTTCCCTCTCTTGCTGTGTCTCTCTCTGTCAAATAAATAAATAAAATCTTTAAAAAAAAAAAAAAACTGACGTTCAGAAGGCTTAGTTGGTTTCTCAAGATTATAGCTAATAAATGACAGATAATTTGCCCTGGATCTTTTGATTTCAAATTAATTTAATTTTTTTATTATACTATGCTTCTTTATCAAATAGACATTTTAAACCTCAATATTATGCTATCTTTGGTAGGTTGAAGCTCTTCATCAAAAATTTCTAAAATGGAGTACTATATTACTTGCAGATTATCACAATATTAAAATAAATTTCATATTTCCCATCTTTGTTGTAAAACTGGAACCCTCATTTTATTCTGTTTTTATGACTCAAGCTTGGAGAGTAAATGAATTTCTTCCCTTGGCCTTTTTTCTAGTCTCCTTTTCAGATTTATTCCCTCCTTTTCCCTGCTATGTTGTTATGCATGGTATGAAGATTATGAAAAAGAATTATTCATCTGATCCTTTCTAAGCACTGTATATAGCACACTAGAGGGTCAGTGTGGCAAAATACCAAGCCAGGGCATAACAGGAGGTGCTTCACTGCTCTTTTCAGATAGTTTCCACTGCATTCCCACTAGGGTTCTTTGTCTTTCTGTGCAATGAAAACTTTGTTGATTGTTAAGAGAAATTCCTATCAGAAGGTCCCTTAATAAAGGATATGTCCATTCTTAATTTAATTGTAATTATAAACATAATTGTGATGGATTTACTGCTTTTAGTTTCCATTGCTTCATAGTGGTATGTTAAACATTTTCAAAAGTTACATTACATACTTAACTTGATTTAATCTCTTCCAATATAGAAATCAGATAGTAAAGATCTGACTTCTAAAAGAAATCTAAAATTAACTGCAAACTCAAGGGATTTGTTTATATTATACACAAACATATATGTATGATATATAATGCATATTCTAAGGTCCTCACTGATTATGGTTTTAAAAACATGGTATTATTTCAGCTTTGTACAGTGTGTTTTCTGCACATATTTTTTGGAGAATATTAGCTTGGAAAGTATCAAATTCAGTACTATTTACTACTTGGAAATGTTAGTGCCATCAAGTGGCAAAGAATGGGTATTTCTAAATTTGGCTTAAACTTGTAAACTCACTGAATATGCATATTTTTGTGTTTCCTAGAAGGCATGGGATTATAGTGAATAGTTCAAATTCAGCTGCTTATATTATAGTTTACTCATTGTACCATCTTTAAGAAGTATGGTAATTATGAAAAGAGAATTATTAAATGAATTATTCTCTATAAATGATAGCATAAATACTAATAGAATATTTTTTAGTCTTGAAAAACTTTGTGAGAAACTTCAAAACTAAGAAAGAAGAGCTTTTTGGTGTGAAGATAGTTGAGTGTTACTCCTTCATTATAATGTGATATTATTTTTGCAAAAATAATGTTCACCTTTATCAAAGTGAATAGAAATTGACTGTAAAATACTATGAAATGCGTGCTTTAGAAAAGTGTGTAATAGGTAACTTGTAGAACTAAATATAAAACAGTGGTATAAAAGCAAGTGTTTTGCACAAAAATGTGAATGTACTTAATGTCACTGAACTGCATACTTAAAAATGATTGGTATGGTAAACTTTATGTTAGGTGTATTTCACCACAATAAAATAAGTGTATATATTTATATATATAATCAGCTTTAACAAAAAGAAAGAATCAACACAGTTTACAAAGGTATATATATATTTCTTTCATTGTGGCTATGAACAAAATCATAAATCCACTGATGTTAATAAAATTGGTTTGAAGTGAAAAAAAGGCAAGTGTGTAATGAACATGAAAAAAGCTTTCTCAGCAAACAAAAACATCTCTTTTTTTATTTTATGATTTTACAGCTGTTAGATTTTTATTTTAATTGTATTTGTAAATTACCAGTTTTGAGTTTTTCCCCACACAGCAAATATGATAGGTTCTATTATTTAAGCCACTTAATGTTTCATGTCTCCTTTTATAGAAGTGTCAGAAAACTTTTACTGAAAGAATCAGATGATAACTATTTTAGATTTTGATCCAGAAGATTTATTTTAACTACTCAGCTCTGCTGTTACAATGCAAAAGCCATCACAGACAGTACATAAACAAATGAGTGGGCTGAGTTCCAATAAAACTTTATCAATGGACCCAGAAATTTAATTTCATATAATTTTCACATCACAAAATAATGTTCTTTTGAATTTTTTTCAACTATTAAAAATGTAAAAACCATTCTTAGCTCATGGACCTTAGAAAAGTACAGAGGGTCAGATATGACCCATAGGCCATAGTTTGCCAACCTATATTTTAGTTGATACTTTTTAAATTACTTTATTTGAATGAGCTGCTAGTTATGAATAATAAAAAACAGCATGAATCTCAGACTAATTGTGATTTATGTGACCAGAAATGGAAAGAAGAATCTTGAAGTTTTTGAAATGTAGTTTTTAACTGCAAACCATTTTGGCCTTTAAGAAGGATCTATTATTTATCTGAGAATTATGTGTAGGTTGATCAGTGTTCTGAGTATTTATTTATAAATTTGTTTTTAATTTCAAACATCAAAATGACTACTAATCGGCACCCTTTAACTTCACTAAGAGGAAAATCATCTAAATTAAAAGTATATTCAGAGTTTGCTTTTCAGTATAATTTTAAAACCTAAGTATATCTGATTGGTGTTCAGTGCTACAGAATTAGCAAATGGAGTTATCATCGGCTTTTTTACTGGCGCAGTCATATTAATACCAAGTCACATTCCTTTTCTTTAAAAGATGGTAAGGTATAATCGTTGTTATATTTTTGCAGTAGACATTTTTCTATAATAGATAACTAGATCACATTGGGAGCTAAATATATGATTTTCTTATGCATTAAATACATTTTAATTCTTCAGGTGAGTATGCCTTGGCAGCAGAGCTGTACAGGGAAGTGTTGCGTTCATCTGAGGAACACAAAGGGAAACTCAAAACGGATTCACTCCAAGTAAGTAAGCACTGAACAATTTCAAGTATATAGTCTATTTATTTTTTACAAAATAATTTTTCATGATGATCTTCTGATTTAATTTTTGGAGGTCTCTTAGGAAAATCTGAATATTTGAACTATAACATTTAAGTATTGAGTCTCTTCCCTTTCTTAGCCCTGTCCAGTGGATCATATACACAAGGCGTTCTAGCTAAATGGTAAATAAGGACCACTTTTATTAATCTTTTTAAGTTTAGGCTTGAGTCCTTGGTGGGACTTCTTTATCATTCACAATCTAGACCTTGGGACGCACATGTTCACGTGTACCTCAGCAAGTATTGTAGGAGTGTTTGGGGGAAAAAGGAGAAAATTAAATGCAAGCCTACTTATATTCTGTATGGGGGAGGATTACAGAAGTTAGACCTTCAGTCTTAAGCAAATGTGTTTGCCTCATGAAAGAAGGCAGAAATATGCTCCTGAAGAAAAGAAGCAGAAGTAGAAAAGTGGATGAGCAAACAGATAAGTCCAGTATGCCTGAGTCCAGGAATGAAGAGTAAGCCATCAGCCTGTTTCTTCCTTTTGGCTTTAATAATCCTATCTACTGTAAACCATGGCCCACTGACTGTTTTGCTCTATTCAGTCAGATTAGCCACTCTGCTCCCTTGGGATAAAAATAAGGGGATGAAAGAGACAGGTGTTCTCCCCAGTCTGTTCTACCACCTTGTTCAGGAAGCCACAGAAGGAGAAGAGGAGCCGGGTTTCTACCACTTGGTTTCCATAGTGCCATTTACAGGTTTGTTGTTGCTACTCAGTGTGATAGTGTTGCTGATTGTATTATCTATGAAGCCATGTTGATGAAAAGACCTAAGACATTTGAGGTGACTCTTCAAAGATGAACTCTACAAAGATCTGTGTCATGACATAATCTGTAGCCAGAGAGAGTAAACCTTTGTAGTCTCAAACCACTAGCACCAAATCAGATCTTACCAGGACTCTTTCCTGATTATCCTTTAGTCCTTAGCTGTCTTCCCAGGTAAAGAGTGAAGTTAACAGAAATTACTTATTTCTTCTCAGCCCTTGACTTCAGAGGGAGCCTCTAACCAGCTGCAGATTCAGTATCGTAGGGAGAAGCCTGGCTTATACTGAATACAGAGATAGAAGATACAGTTTTCTCCTTCCTTATATCTTTACCTCTAGCTCCTCCCTTTTTCACCCCTTAAGTTCAACAGATCCAGGTCACAGCCCTGTTTTCCTATGTATTTAGTTATCCTTATTTTTATGATAATTGCTAGGCTTATGCAGACTCATTTCCCAGAAGAGGAATCAATCAAGTCTGGGCAATCAGTCTTTCTACTTTACTGGACTTGGCATAATCATAGTTCCCTATACAGACAAAGGCTCGTATAATAGAAGAAATATACCTGTATTACACATTCAGCTAAATGCATAGACATATTTCATAAGACTATTTTCTCCCCTTAAGACTGTGTATTTTTAATTGAAGAAAGTTTATGCCATTATGAATTAAGACCTTATGAAACTGATTTTGGTTTTCTCTGAGGAGGTTCGTGTTCAAATTGTATTAGAGGAAAAGTTTTCAATGATCTGATCTTAATGTGGTGTTAGTATTCTGTATGCCATACTAATAGTAGATTCTCCCTTAAGAGTTCACTGCATTGACTCTCAAAATGTTGCCTTTTGTGTGTTTGTAGAGACTTCATGCTACCCATAACTTGATGGAATTGTTGGTAGCCAAGCACCCAGGAATACCTCCTACCTTACGAGATGGCAGACTTGAGGAAGAGGTAATTATTTTTTTATTCTGTCTGTAAAGAAATCTTTTTTTCAGACTTTATCACACATCTCATTAATATTTCCTAGGGTATATAACATCTAAATAAAAGTAATCATATGCTTTCCTGCTGCTTTTATGTCCCAAATTTTGCTTTGGTGATTTGGTGATAGGAGAGAATTGCAGTACTCTGTATTATTTTGCTTCTCTTGTGATCTGCTTGTGGTTATATGGTAACTGCTTTCATAGATATGGCTGTTGGTAGCCAGCAGCACATAGAAAGAAAAAAGGAGCACATAGAAAGAAAAAGGAAGGAAATGAAGGAAGGAAGAAGACCTTGTTGATCTCATGGCAGATCTGCAAAAGATGCGGTTTAGTAAAAATAAAAAGTTTTGTGCTTACTCCACCTTTCTGTATATTACCGAGGGCAGTAAATAAACTCAATGTTTTGGTGGTATTTCTTATGTCCTCTCAAAGAACTTCCTTCTGCAGTAAGTTTTGCCTCATTGGAAAGAATGGTATAAATCATTTCACTGTAAATTGTTGATGAGCCTATTATGCTAATTCCCTCATGGATTTTTGCCTTTTTAAAAGTCAGATATGGCAAAGCTAAAATCAAAAGAGTAGTAGTATGTTTGAAATGAATTGAACCTGTAAATGGGACCTTTTTTATTTGAATTAAGATACAAAGTGAGATTGTATAAGTATGTACAGCCCTTTCTTAATGTTAGATGACAGTCTAAGTGTTGGAGATTTTTTTTTTTTTTTTTAAGATTTTATTTATTTATTTGAGAGAGAATGAGAGAGAGCACATGAGAGGGGGGGAGGGTCAGAGGGAGAAGCAGACTCCCTGCCGAGCAGGGAGCCCGATGCGGGACTCGATCCAGGGACTCCAGGATCATGACCTGAGCCGAAGGCAGTCGCCCAACCAACTGAGCCACCCAGGCGCCCGTGTTGGAGATTTTTAAATGAAATCTCATTCCCATTGCAGGTGTCTAATCTTATATACAATCAGTCACTTGTTTAAATGCCGTGAGCGACAGGAAACTCTAGGAGACTGTCCAGTCTATTAGTAGATAGCTCTAATGACCAAATAATTATAGCCAAGGAATTTTAATGGAAATTAATCAGAAGGTTGTGACAGGAAAAGGAGAAATGCATCATGGGAGAAGAAGAAAAAATGTGTCACACTGGATAGATAGATTTCCAAGGAGACCACATAATTTTTGCCTTTCATAGAATATGAAGCCACAGATCCAAGAAATCATCTACTTCAACCACCAGCGTTTGCAAATGAAGTAACAGAAGCCCAGAGAGGTGAAATGGCTAGTCCAAAGAGATGTATCTGTTCAGTTGAACCTCATGAAATTGCCATTTTTGTAAGTCAAAGGGTCTAGTATTGGCAACTTCACATGGGTCAACCCACCTCTAAGTGGAAGCGTTAGGATTTCCTGTTCAGGAGTCTTTCTGGTTTTCCTCCCACTATCCCATGTCCACAACACCTATGTTACTGTATATTCTCAAGTATTATTTCCAAACTGAAGTAATTTCAAAAAGTTGTAATAACTAAATCAGACAAATTCTAAAAGATTGCTTTGCCTCAGGATTTGAAATACGGTTGTTCTTCCCATTCCCTTTTTTTAATTAAAAATTAGATAGAAATTTAGGAAGCAGACCCTTGGGATTTCTTAAATTTTGTGACTTACGAGTAAATGTGGTCTCTTTAATATCTGTCTTATGAATTTCTAGCTCGGCTCTTATGTTCTTGACAGTATACTTAGAGAATTCTATGCTTAAACTGTGTTAAGTAGCTTTACGTACCTAAAATATACCACATTGTTCTTGCAGCATTATACTGAATTATTTTCCAGACCTGGAATGAAAGTTTACATTTGTTTCCTGTTTCAACACAGGCCAAACAACTGCGAGAGCATTATATGAGCAAGTGTAACACAGAAGTCGCTGAAGCACAGCAAGCTTTGCAGCCTGTGCAGCAGACCATACGGGAGCTCCAGAGAAAGGTGCGTCCCCAAAATGACTTGGCTTACGTGTGTTTGTCTCCATGTAGCATTTTGGACTTTGTCTTGGTTTGGAGAAAAACTTGAACTTTCTTATTCGTCTTGGAATTCTTAGCACCTAGTAGGGTGCCTGTCTCATAATAAAAAATGTTATTTGCTGTTCGCAGTGTTTGTTAATTGAATGAACAGGTGTGTAGATAAATCACCTATTTGGAAGCTGTTCTCTTTCTTTTTTTTAAGCTATGATGGGTTTTTTCTGACCTTGTGTAGACAATAAGTTATCTTTTGAAGAAAGTAAAGACTGGGCGCCTGGGTGGCTCAGTCGTTAAGCGTCTGCCTTCGGCTCAGGTCATGATCCCAGGGTCCTGGGATCGAG